CATGACCGAAGTCCCAGGGCTGAGGACAAGGAGAAAAGTCCAGGCCAGTTTGGGTTAAACTGAGAAGAGCTGAGGTGTCCGGATTTCACTGAAGAAACCATGCAGACCCAGTCACACTTTTTAGCAAGAAGTGACAGGAGCAAAGTCCCATCTGAGGAATGTTTCCTGATGGTGGCATCCAAGACGATCTGGAGGGACAAGAGGGGAAACGGGTGCTCTGCCCACCTATGTCCCCAGATCCACCATGTTGGGCCACTGCTGCCGACCAGAGCAAGCTCTCCTCTCCCTGCTCACCCAGCTCCTGGGCTATGTCATTCTAGCAACAGCAGCTCCAGCACCACAGGCTTAGGATCTTAAAAGATTCCTCCTCCAAATCCATTCCCTGTGTTCCACTTTATATAGCAAGTTTCTGTCCTGAGTCCTTTGGTAAGTTCCTGTCTTAGTTATCAGCTCTATTCCCTTGTTCTTTGAAAAAGGATAGAACCAAAGACAGAGCACAGTGGCTCACGCCTGTACCCCCAGCACTTTGGGAAGCTGAGGCAGGCAGATTACTTGAGCACAGGGGTTTGAGATCAGCCTGGGCAATATGGCAAAATCCCATCTCTACTAAAAGTACAATACAAAAGTACAAAAATTAGCTGGGCATTGTGGCATGTGCCCGTGGTCCTAGCTGCTCAGGAGGTTGAGGTGGAAGGCTTGCTTGGAGCTGGGAGACTGAGGCTGCAGTGGGCTGTGATGTCACCACTGCACTCCAGCCTGTGTGACCAGGGTCCTGTTCAAGTCTTTCTGATTCCCCTGCTAGACACCATCTGCCCCACCTAAATACTCCTACCTGAGAAAAGAACACCCTGGTTACAGAGGCCTTCCTGAATTTTTTAATATTGCTCACCTGGATGCTCTGAGACTTACCCTACCTGTTGGAACTTGTGCCATTTTGTGGTGAAGTATTCATTGCTCTGTTTTCCTGGCTTGATACTCGTAAAGTCATTACCGTGGTCACTCTGGGGCTCCTGACAGCCCGTGACATCCCAAATCTCCTCTGTCAGCCTCCGCAGCTGGGTCAGGTTCCCCTTGCAGGTAGGCTTGCTGCTGGAACCCTGAGTCTCCCTGTCTTCTCTAGTGATCTACAGATCTCATAGGTAGCTACAAATAAGCATAGAAAAAGGCTACATTGCACTAACGGAGACATTAGGTGATAGGACTAGACAACAGGGATTGGCAAGATTGGCTCATGTTAAAGACTTTGGAATAAATCAAAAGTTTTAGGAGCTGATAGAAGGTAGAATATCAGTAAGAGAAAGAAGAGGCAAAGAACTCCATGGTTCAAAGTCTGGATGCCAAAGGAAGCCGTGTCTACAGTAGCAAGGATAGCTGGGGTTGACAGGGGATCTGTTTTTGTTGGAATGCATCTGTACATAGTACTTTTCCACTCCCTCTTCCTTCACTCCCTGTGTCCGTCATAGCATTTATTAGTACCTCACCTGTCTAGAATAAAAGCTCCATGAGGGCAGGAACCTTACTTGCTTATTGGCTGCAGAATAACAGGCTTCCAGAACAGTGCCTGGCAGCTAGGATGTTTTCCATGGAAATACATATAGACTGTATGAATGGATTTTGAGTTAACATGCTGTCTTCAGAGAGTGCTACCCATCAGGTGCTTGGGTAGATGTGTGGGCAATGGCTGGAGCCTGGGCCAGTTTGAGGGATATGGGTATGGGAAAGAAGGTCATATTCAAAGCAACAGAAGGGCTAAGGTACACAGCAGCCTTCTCTCAGGAGGTTAGAGGTGATGAGAAGAGGACGAGAGAAGGCAAAAGAGAGAAAGAGAAGTCCAAGACAACCAAGACAAGGGTAGCTTTTGTAAATTAAGGAAGAGGTATTTTGGAAATTAAGGCAGGACTGACTATTCAGTAACAGTAAATGTTGTAGAGGTTGAAATGAATGAAAATAAGAGAAAATAATTCATAAGAATAAAAATAAGAGAATGCCACTAGTCTAGACACTAGATTAGGAGGCTTGGAGTAACCTTAGTGAATACAGGGCACAGAGATAGATTGCAATGGGAAAAAGAATGAGAATGTGGGATGAAAGTGAAGCAGCAGAGATAGGTTAGATTTTCAGTAAGTTTGGTCTTGATGGTAAGACACTATGATTAGTCAGAGGAACAACTGTGTTTATTTAGAGAGGGCATTTGTACTCTTAGCTTTGGGGAGGCACAAGCATACATAAAAATCCAAAAGAAGGATGTTTATATCCTCACCTCCCACCAAATCAAATCAAACCAAAGCAAAATGGGGGAAAACGATCGTGTAGGAAAAAAACGTACAAATGCCATTTTGAGTTCTAAAGATAGGGAAGGGATAGAAGAACCTAGAGCTTAGGTGGGACCTCTCATGCAGGAGAAGAAAAGCAGTGAAGAGGGGTAGCTGGGGGAAGTGGATGGAAAAGAGGCCTATTCTCCTGCTCTAGAATCCAACAGTCAGACACTGAATAGCCTAAATCAGAGCCGAAGATACTGGAAACTTTCTGATTTAAAATAAGGCCAGGGATCAGGGAGCTGGGGCATAAGCCCAGCCTGCCTTCTAGGGCAAGATGTGCTTTGGACGTAGAAGGAAGATTCCAAAATACAACTGACTCAGGGACCACCAAAACAGGCCACGAATGGGACTCTTCTAACCTCCCACCACAATAGTAAACATATTATTACAATGCATTAATAAAACAGTGTTACATTCTGTCTACTACCAATTAAGATTTCCTATAACAGAAACCCATACTAGGAAAAGCGGTGTTTATCACTGTGCGGCAGAACACAATAAGATTCATATCCATGTGAATAACAACCCAGGAGTTTAAGAGAAGGACAAACGTAGAAGAGTTACTTTTCTTGGAAAAATTAACTTTCTTTTATACCTCAAGATATTGTGGGTCTTGCCTAAGGTGTACTTCATTGATTGCCAGAGAGCAGACAGCCCTTACATCCTAACAGCTCCATTTCACTGCTTGAGATAATTTTTTAAAGAAAATAACTCTCTTGGTTATATCCAAATATTAGGTTGGTGCAAAAGTAATTGTGGTTTTTTGCCACTAAAAGCAATGGCAAAAATCACAATTACTTTTGCATCAACTGAATAAATCAGTCTTCCTCTAGATACGACATCTTTCTCCAATGTGGAAAAAACTAACCTATGATACGCCATTCTGTACCTTATGTTAGGCTTCGAACCTTACATCTGGAGTCCTGCTCCCACCTTGGGAAGTGCTGGTAACGTGAAGAGCCAGATTCTCCCAATGCTTAAGCAAATGTGAGAGGGAGGCACTTGAAGAAGGCCAGTGAGGTTCCGTCCACAACCAAAAAACACAGAACAAGATGCCCAGCCAGGGACTGGAAGGAGTCGAGGGTATCCCTGAGGACCAACAACAGAATCTGGAACGAAGGCACCTTCGAGTTCAGTACATTCAACTCCCCGATTTTGCAGGCGAGAAACCCGAAGCCGATCTGACTTGTTCAAGGTCGCCCAGCCAGGTGTCCTCACACGGCACAGCACTCTGCGTCTCACTTCTCACTGCTAACCCGGGATGCCACTTAGGTACTGAAGAGGACCCAATAACCAAACCAGCATTATTTTCCCCTAAGCCAAGCCTCTCTTCTTTCTCTATCTTTTCATTACAGAAAAATTCCAATATCTGTAAGTAGTAAAATAAAAGTAATAACCACAATGGACCCATTGCCCAGCTTAAACAACCTAATTGTCAGTCTTCCCTCATCTATAGTCTTACCAACCTCACCCTCCTGTAGGATTATTTTGAAACAAATTCCAGGTAGCATGTCATTATTTCTTGTTAAATATGAAATGCTCAAATAAGCGATATAGCTGTAAATGCATCTGAGACAATTTTCTTTGGGGAGATTTGATGCCCCTCTTCCATATCCTTGCATTATGTGTAGCATTTTCAATTTCATGTCACAGCTCTGGAACAAAAGCCTAGCTCTTATTTTAGTACAGAACAATAAGACACGCTCTGTGACCCCGTACCTCTACTAACAATATTAGACTGTCGTGCAGTGGAGGGACTCTGATGAAGGCATTACTTTGGACAGTAAGCATGGGGAACGCTGAACCTAATAAACACTTTTCTATCTTAGACAAAATACACCGACGCTGGTACTTGTTTCAGTTGGGCTGAATTTTGGCCTTAGATTTAAAGCCAGCTTCCTCCTTGAGTCCATATGAAAGGAACTAAGCAATATAACTCTTAAGGTTTAACACATCTACAAACTAAATTAACAGGCAAACATTTTCACATCAACAGGGTTATGCCTCTACTCTTTTAAGACAGAGACCATTTATTTGTCCTAAGGATTTGATGGAAATTTAAAGAATATAACAAAACTTTTCTTTCATATAGCCACTTAAATCTTTCCTAAAGAATAAATACATCAAAAAAGACAGTTTTAAAAAGTCTTAATTAACAAATAAGGCCATACTACTATATATGCAACATAATGTTAAATATATAGTAGTATAGTCTACTAGTTAAATGGTTATTTACATATAAATATAAATATAAAACATAATGTGACATATATAGTAGTATAAACTAGTTAAATAAATATTTATATATTAGTAAAAATAGTATAGTCTAACTAGTTAAATATACATGTAACATTATGTGTATATAAAAATGGATACTTGCCACCACAATGTTGATGAATAGCATTTCCACTTACCATTTTCTACTATTTCACTCTGTTGCCTCGCCCACGCATTTTTTATATAAATTTTATTTATATATATTTTTAAGAATATATTAGAAAGTCAAGGTCATTATAAAAAGAAGGCAAATCAGAACTCTGGTTTCATCCATAAAATAAATAATTTCATTTCAAATATGGCTTAATTTTTTCTGGGAAAAAAACACTCTGTAAAATATAATTTTCTACCTTTTAAAACACTTTACAATTTATCCTGTCTTCTAACAAGTTATGATACTCATACCTGCTGAGGTTTCTCTAAATTTGTCGCTGGTCTTCTTTTTCCTCCATTTCCAAGGCTTAAAGATTTTACCAATGGTGGATAGTTTCCCCTTCCTCTTGAAGGGAGGTGTTTGGGAACCTGCTGTGGGGCCATCTGAGTTTGCTATAGAAGCTTTGTCCAGTCCATCAACTGTATAAAAGAAAATATATAGACAGAGAAACGTTGTAAAAAAAAAAGGTTGTAATAAAATATCATTGATTGCTTCCTGGGCTGTTAAAGGTAAGCACGCTTACTCTAATTGGAATCTCACATAAGGTTTACTTGTCCCACTTCACAGCTGGTAGGACTCCCCTCATAGCAATCAGTAAATCAGTCAATCAGAAATTACAATCCACTTAGAATATCATTTTGGGGAAACAGACTGGAAGCAAGAGACTACTTATATTACAGATGGGGCCAGACAAATACGTGCCTGTGCGACACAGCTGAATCCATCTCCAACAACCACATCAATATTTTGTACGGGAATAGAGTATTCTACGTATTTCTGAAATAGGATGTTCCTCCAGAGACTAGTCTGACATTCTCCATAATGAATATTACAGTGATGGTGTAGTTTAAACCATGGTTTCTCTTTCACAAAATAAAATTTGGTGCCAGGAAGCTAAATTCTACTTTTACAATGCTAAAACTATCTTTTGCTTCTATTACAAAAAAGGTTTTGAGTTTCAAAGAAACTGGTAACTACACTAACAACAAGAAATTTGTGGAAAATTTGGGTACCGTGTGTGACAAAAACATGTCTTTGTATGCCTTCACTATTTTATTAACCAGAAGACGCACACAAAATCTTAAGTTGCCTTGCTTGTACTGTGTTCTAGGCTGACGGAAAAGAGCAGTGACTTACATTACACCAACTATCAAATTTTAATGGCAAAGAACTGGAAGCAGACCAGAATGGATAAACTATAATATTATGCCATCAATAAAATAGCACTTGAAATTATGACCAAAAAAGAAAAAAGAAAAATCAAAACAGTAGTTTCTTCTTGGGGTGAGGAGGTAGAAATTACCTGAGAAGGAACTTGAGGGAACTTATGGGAGTGATGGAAATTATCTCAATAATGGTTGGATTACCCAAAACTCATCAAATGGTGTTTATAATTTTTTGTATTTCACTTTATGTAAAATTTACCTTAAAAAACATAAACAGATAGTGAAGTCTCATTAATAATATGCATGCTGAAGTGTTTAGAGGTGAAGTGTACTGATGTCCATCAAAAATAATAAATGGAGAGATACAAATTCTTTGATACTCTTTGTATTTTTTAAGGCTTAATATAATATTGGTAATAATAAAACAAATAAAAATGAAAATTGAATAGCAAGGACTGCTGCTTCCAAGAAGATAAAACAGACTTACTTTTTCTTTTAGAAATGGAGTCTCGTTCTGTCGCCCAGGCTGGAGTGCAGTGGCATGATCTCAGCTCACTGCAACCACTGCCTCCTGGGTTCAAGCAATTCTTCTGCCTCAGCCTCCCTTGTAGCTGGGACTGACTACAGGCACATGCCACCATGTCTGATTAATTTTTGTATTTTTACTAGAGGCGGGGTTTCACCATATTGGTCAGGCTGGTCTCGAACTCCTGACCTCAAGTGATCCACCCGCCTCAGCCTCCTGAAGTGCTGGGATTACAGGTGTGAGCCACCACTCCCAGCCCAGACTTACTTTTTCTTATTCCTCTGGCTAAATAGAAAAAAAAAAAAAAAAAAAAAACATGGATGTTACATATAAATGTAAGAAAGTTCTGTAAGGTGAAGAGAAGGTAGACCAGCCTGGGACCTTAGAACCCAAGAAACAACACGGTGGTGAGGTTTCTGGGTTTTCTTTTTGCCTCAAATGTCCCAGATTTGTAGTTAAAGAAGTCAGAAACCTGGAAAGGCCAACAAGCATGGAAACCAGCAACCCAGAAACACCAATGGGCAGAGACCACAAACGTCTGCTCTCTCTAGCTACAGAACCAGGAAAGGGCCAGAGTAGCAACATAAGAAACTTTCAGACAATAACTGCTCTACTCCAGCCAAACTCCATAGATGAGCCCGTGACCATTCATGCCAGCAAAGGCTGAATGGAGTTACTAGATCTCCACCCTCATGAAGCTCTGAAAAAGAGCCCTAATACCCCCACGAGAGTGGTGTCAGAGAAGACCAAGTAGGAAACTAGCACTTTTATGCCTGGCAGCTGAATAATGAAGCATCTTCTACAGTGTCAGTGGAGACCATGGTAGGAAGCCCTGACATCCATTCCTACCCAGCAACAACTGGATATTTCTCCCCTTCCCCTCAATACAGAGGTGGCAAAATCACTGCACACTGGGAACAAGACTACCCCAACTGTGGTATCAAGGGAGACCACATGGGGATCTGGAAATTTTACCTGTGTCCAATAGTAACAAGGACACCCCACACACATACGCAGCGTGTCAACAGGGGACAAGTGGAGAACTGGGATGTTCACCTCCATGTAGCAATGATAAGGTGGCACCCACTGCTTTCTCAGCTGCAGAGGTGTCAGTCAGAGCCAATTAAAACAGAGTGTTTCAAATAAGATCTAGAATTGCACAACATAACCACAAAAATGTCCAAGTTTCCATCAAAAATCACTTGACACACTAAGAACCAGGAAAATCTCAAACTGAATGAAAAAAGACAATCCAGAGATGCCAATTCCTAAATCCTTATGAATTCTCCTTCCAAACAAATATGAATAAATCCTATTCTTCCCACTAGTGAAGTCTACTCTAATTTCATGTCCTATCTGGGCAGAGATAGGCAGACACTGTGCATTACCAGGGAAAATTGGAGATTCAAGTCCTATGCTGATTCTTCTGAAAGCGGTTCCTAACCCTACTTTCAGACATAGCACAACAGGTAGAAATACAGGGGACAGATTGATTCTGAAGCTAACTCAGAGTAAAAGAGTAAAATATTTATTACTTCAATTCTATTCCTGTCCAACTTCCCTCCTTGAACCAGAGGGCAAACCCAGGGGGAACTGAGAGTATGGTTTTACTTCTTCATGAAGACTTTATGCTGAACTCTCATGAAAGGGTTTGATTTTGTACAACTTAAATGTTGTAAAATATAAAAGGGCTGATTATTATGAACATAGAAACAAAAGATGCCATCTCAAATTAGTCTCTGTGGCTACATGCCTAGTTTTCACTTTCTTACAATATAGTGGGATCTTTCTCTCCCAACCCACACATCCAGTTCCCTGATGCTCCATAAGAATTCTGTTTTCCCTCTGAAGCAATAAAGAGCAGCCTATTTTTCTCCTATCATAAACCACACCTGCAATTAGAAATCATATGTTGGCTGATGTCCCATTGTACTTCTCTTAACTCATGAATGTGAAGACAACTATCACCTGCATTTGAATAGTATGGACAGAATATTAACCCTTTTCTTTTCTTTAGATACTTAGGACACTGATGCTGCTATTGATATTTCTATAATTTTTCTTGTGGATCAGTTTTCCATTAAAATCCATTTGAAACTTTCCATAAATTATTTCACAATATGTCTGGTGAATTTTGCATTTACATGCAGATAAGAACAAATTGCCAGGTAAATCCCAGATGAAAGGCAAAATTTCCTGATTGTTTTCAATGTTAAATTTGATTCACTTTTATGTTACTAAGAGTAATCTGTCATTCATCAGAACTTAACCTTTTTCACACTTGAGTTCTACATTTTAAAATATGGCATATTTTGAAATACAGTCATTAGCTAATCAAATGTAGACACCTAAAATGACACAGGTCAGTCTATCTTCCCACTGAAACAAGCCCATACCTAACAGGATTTCCCCACACCCACCAATTGCTAAGAAATCAGAAAATACATGCAGATTTCATTTTTTATTTAAACAGAGATGTATCAATCAGGCAGTCCCACTGCAAATGTGACCATATAAGCCAAAAATGAATGAGGCTAGTAATTATCATATTGATAGGGTTTAGATATGTATCCCCACCCAAATCCCATGTCAAATTGTAAACCTCAGTGTTGAAGGTGGGGCCTGGTGGGAGGTGATCGGATCATGGTGGCGGAGTTCTCATCAATTGTTCAGCACCATCCCCTCTTCATACTGTATAATGAGTGAGATCACACGAATTCCAGTTGTCTACAAGTGTGTAGCACCTCCCCTTCTCTCTTCCTCCTGCTAAAGCCATGTAAGACATGCCTGCTTCCCCTTCACCTTGTGCCATGATTGTAAGTTTCCTGAGGCCCTCCCAGAAGTTAAGCAGAAGCTAGCCTTCAGAACTATGAGCCAATTAAACCTCTTTTCTACATAAATTACCCAGTCTCTGGTATTTCTTTATAGCAGTGCAAGAACAGACTAATACACATATGAAATAAACTGTAGGATTGAACAGTCTTCCCTTTGAGATTTGAGAAAGGGATTTGAATGATAGGGATTCTTAGAAAAATCAAATCTACTTAATGGAGTTTGTTGTATTTTTATACTATTTAATAGTTATGATATTTTAGATATCCATTTTTCACCACACACAATTATTTCAGGCACTGAGGAACTGAGACAAATGTGGCATAGTATTCCAACTCACAAATGTTGTAACTGAAAGACCATTTAGAAAAGAATCTCTGTAAAAGAACTCCTGGTACTAATTTCGTACAAACTGACAGCCACTCTGTGAAAAAAAGTAGGTGGCAAAAAAGCATGTTCTCAACTTTTTTCCAAATATCCTTAAATATCTGAAGGTCAATGAGAATGCATTTTTGAAGTCTAATCATAGCAAAAATAGCTAGGAGAAATCATGTGTGGTAAATAATGCTTTGATAACACTCTGCTGTGTATGCTTTAAGAAAATTAAAAAAAAAACAAGCATATCAAACTTTATTTCCTTAAAATATTGTTTCCAGGCTTTGGTTTTTTTTTGTGTGTGTGTGCTTTATTATGCTTATACGATATTAAGATTATCTTTGTATATTTTTATTTCTATTACAGTTTTTATATTTCTATTATAATTCTGTCACTTTCCCCTTTAAAAGCCACAGAACATATGGCAAAGAAAAATCAGAACAGTGCTTAGGGAAGATTTAACTTTATTTCCTACATTTACATGAGGTCTCTTTCTCTCTCTCTCAACTGAAACAATAAC